CTTAAACACTTGGAGTTTGAATATTCTTTGACATTCAATATGTAGTAAAATGCAGCGTACTCTTAGCATTTTCTTCAGAAAATTTTCAAATTCAAGGTGCCTTAAATCTATGGGAAAAAGGCAAAATGATTTTATCTAAAAGAATTTTAGTTTGAGAGAGAAAATATGGCTTTAGGGATTGTAGAATGTAGTTGCTTATCAAACACAAAATGCAAAGGCAATTAGCAGTAACCAATAACGTAAGTAAAAACAAATGAAAGTGGAATATTATTTAGACATATAAATGGTGGATTCATGATTAACGTGCATGTTACTTTTCAATTGAAATGGAGAGTTTTTCCTTGTAATTATCATAATGGTTTTAATTAGTGGGTATTAAAACTTGAATGAAATGCCGAATGGGTATAAATTGTGGAAGGAGTGACGTGCAGATTACTTTCATTTAAATGGCAGTTTTTTTTTTTTATAATTAACATTATGGGTTTTAAATGATTAAACAGTTATGACACTTAGTGGTTATTACCAATTCAAATGAAATGCCTAGTGGAGAAAAAGAAAAGTCACATTGAGGAATGAGAAAAATTAAAACTCATGGCTGAATAGATAGGAGTAATTTGAAGACTAAAACCATGTTTAAGGACTATTTGGCAAAACAATAAGTGTATCTATATTTTTAAAATTTTAGGGACTTAAAATATGTTATCACAAACATTTAAAAGAAATTCAACACCTTAAAAGACAAGTACGCGCAAATTTACTATCATGACCAAAACTTTAATTTGTACTCTTAGGAAGTGTTGTAGCAACGAAATAACATAATCCAAATTATTTTTTGATTTATACGAGAAAAATTATTTTAAAATGAAACACAAGATTTTATTTTATTTTATTTTATTTTATTTTCTCGACCGCCACAAGCCCCGATGAGGTAAATCAATGACAAATACTACATCTCTACTGACCACAACTTTTCTTGTCTCAAAACACCACAACTTATATCCCTTTGCACCTGAATTATACCTAAGAAAGATGCAGCTTCTAGACCTAGACTCTAATTTCCCATTATTCGCATGAGTATAAGCCGCCAAAAAGCTTCAAATCAAAATAACAAGAAGGTTTACCAATAATACCTCTTCTGGTGTCTTTTTTTTAATGGCAGCTGGGTGAGCGATTAATCAGAAAACAAGCTGTAGTAGCAGTTTCAGCACAAAAAGTCTTACGCAACCTATAATTTGAAAGCATTCAACGAACATTTTCCATCAAAGTTCTATTCATCCGTTTTGCCATACCATTCTATTGAGGAGTTCTAACCACTGTCAAATGTCTCAAGATGCATTCAGCCCTGCAGAAGCTATTGAATTCATCTGAACAAAACTCCAACCCATTATCTGTACGTAGACATTTCACCTGCTTTTCTATCAATGTTTTCCACTCCTTAAAGATCCCAAACGCGTCACTCTTCTACTATAAAAAGAATATCCAAACTTTTCTGGAGAAGTCATCAATCACTATCAACAAGTAATAAACACCTCCTTTTGAAGGTACCGTGGGCATTTCTTCAATCAAGGCGGGGTGCTTCTTCAATCAGGGGCGCCGGCTCCGTAGCGCTGGACTTGCTACTTCTCCTTTTGTAACAGGCTTTGCGTCGTCGCGACGATTTCACAACGACCCCCACTTTCAGTAATTTTATCTTCAAGGTATTTTTCTTTATCCCAAAGTCCTTTTCCAAACCAAACTCCCAATACCAAACTCCATTAATTAGGATTCTCATAACCAAAACTCCTTAAACTTCTTCTATTCAACCAAATATCAAATAACATAAAATTTAGGTCACACCACAACAAATATCCACCTTAAATCAAATTCCAATACAAGGAATTAAAAAACACATATCCAAGTAAACTCCAATCATCATCTTCCAAACAAGCCTCAATGCGACAAATTAATGACAAATACGTACTAAGTTCAAGCACTCTGACAATCACAATGTACTGTATAAATCTATAAATCTTCACTGATTTCACCAACTAATCCTCTCAACCACATAGCCACTTATATGCCTATGTAATGGCCATGTACTTTGTCTCTGATTTAGACAAAGCTGATGTATTCTCCAAGGGTAAATACATACCCTGTAAGTGATCTCCTTTTATCAAGATCCCCTACATAATCTGAATTCGAGTACCCAATGATTCCATCTGTATTTCAACCAAAATGTAAACAAGTATTAGAAGAGCCCCTCAAGTACCTGAATATCCACTACACTGCTTTCTAATGTTCTTTTGCTAAGATTTGATTACATAAGCCAAATCTGGTCTTGTAAAAATCATAGCATACATATGCGAACCAATTGTACTGGAATATGGAACCCAGGAAGTGTAATCAATGTCTTCATCTAATTGAGGACAGAAGTTAGATGAAAATTTAAAGTGGGCAGCTAAGGGAGTACGACAGCCTTAGCATTCAATATATTGAACCTTTGAAGCACATTATCAAGTACCTTTTCTGATTCAAATACAATCTGTGAGCCTTCATATCTCTCAAGATTTCCATACCAAGAGTCTTCATTGCTACACCCAAATCTTTCATGCCAAACTCCTTACTAAGTTGAAATTTCACC